GCGCGTACATTGCACACCAGGCACTTCTTCTTCTTGCAGAGGAACCGGAAACGGATGACACAAGTATGACAGGCCAGGCGATGGCCACAGGAGCCCACGACGAAGAGGCCAATCGCCTTGGTGCAGACAATGCATTGGTGAGCGGGCTCGCCCTCAGACAGTAAGGGGGCCGGCTCCAAGAAGGCGACAAGCTGCTTGAGGGCGTCTTTCGGCTGAGGTAGGCGCTGTTTGTCTTTGGCAGGCGTCGTGCCGGGGCCGGCGCCGGCGGCCGGGCCTGAGGGCTTCCGCATGGGTGGCATCCTGCAGGAAGGGGGCAAGGGGGCGGGGAGCGAGGTGCGCAAGAAACTCAAGGACAGGGGGGGGGTAGGGGGGGGGGTATTGGGTGGGCAATCTTGCAAAAAAAGAGCCCACCGAAAGGGCCGCTCATCAGCCTCCGGCGGGCATTATTTGGGAGGATGCCCCCCTGCCTCGATTCGACGCAAGAGCAGGGGGACATGCGCGGTGTGATCGCGTCTCGGACGCGCACGCGGATGCCAGCATGACGGAAGGGTTCTGCCCTGTGGAGGGAGAGAGAACCACCGTCGCCCCCCCCCCCCCCGCGCCACCCAGGCCACACGCCATCCCCATGTTCACGCGTATAGTTTCGAATCAGCGCAGCGAACAAGAGGGGTGCCTTCTTTCGGGAATCAGGACGAAAAATATTCACCGCGACCCGCCAGTCTGGCCGCCGCCGCCGCAGTTGGCGCGGCGTGGGACAGTTTCCCTCGCGGAAGCGTGACACACCCCCCGGAAGAAAGACGGCGCCCTTCCCACCAGCACGGATGCGAGGATAGCCGCAGCTGGCGCATTCAAGCAACCAACTAAAATGCTCATGCGTGGGTGCAAATGATAGAGCGCGGCCCGGAGGGGACCCCTTTCCCGGCCACGGGCAATCAGCCAGTGTCGAGCGACCACGACTGTTAAACCCTCAACGGGGATGGCCAACGCTAGCCCCTACGAGGTCCGCCCCCCCCTCCCCCCCCCGCCCCCCAAGAGACATATGGAGATGGCTGGGGATGACCGGCCGCGCGCAATGTTGCGCACTCATTTCCTGCTTCTGCCTGTGCGGGGCCAAAAGCAGGGCTCGAGCCCCAGGCCCCTGCAAGGCACCGGAGCGCGGTCACGCACACATCAAGCTGGGGCCGCGTGCCCCCCCCCCCCCCCCCCCCCCCCCCGCCGCTCCCTCCTGTCCGGGCATCCAGGGCTTGCCTTTCCCACCCAGAGAGAGGTCAGTCTGCTCGATCACCCGGAGGACAGGCTTGCCGACGTGGCGTCCCGCCGGGGGACACGGGCTCGGGCTCCTCCAGCGGTTCTCACTTTGCCGGCGTGGATGCAGGCGCAAATGCTCCACAGGCGCCGGGATAGCCTGGCAGCGTTGCCGAGAATGGCCCAGCGACCGAGCGAACAGGGTGCACACACGTTCACACACACACACACACACCCAAAGCGGGGGGGGGGGGGCTGAAGTCCCCTTTTTCCTTATGGCCCATAGGCAAACCCTGCACACCGAAAAAGGGATCCTGAATATTAACGCGAATATATGATTGCAACCCCTTCAAGTGCCGCCGCAGCGCGCACACCCAGTGACCCGCATCACATGCGCAAACTCCCGCGCTGGCGCGCGGCTCCTTGGCCGTTGCACGCCTGCGGCTCGTTCTCCGGCCGCTGCCCCCCCTGCACCCCCCTGGGCTCCCGTTCCTGATGGCTTCCGTGCGGCATGCTGCGATCCGCGCCGAGGGGAGCCCGCCCCCGGGGCCCTCCGGACCACTTGCGTCCGGGACGATGACACTCACCACCTGGAGTCATGCCAGCCATTCCGGTCGTTGAATGCCAAAGGCCCCCCCCGCACGGGCACCTGCCCTTCCACACGGTCCACACCCCGTCCTTCCCTGCCTTGTTGCCGCGCCCTTCCCCCTTCCCTCCCTCCCTCTCCCCCCCTCTTCTCCGTCCCTTCTCTCTCTCTCTCTCTCTCTCTCGACTTTCGCGGCAACCAAAACGGCGATGTCCAACCGCCCATACTCCTCCCCCTTCGGCCAGGGGCGGAGCGCTCCCTCTCTGGAGCAGCTTTTCCGCCGGTCCCGGCCCTCGTACGTCCTCAATGGCATCCCTTGCATTGTCGCCTCCTGTCGGGACTGACCATTTCCCGCTCCGCCTGCCTGCCTGCCTGCTCCCTCCCTTCCCATTTCCCGCTCTGCGCCAATGAAGGATGGCCAAGGCCAACAGTTCCAGCCCCGGCCTTGGCTACCAGTCCCGCGACCAGAACGCACAGTGCCAGCGTTGCTTCGAGTCCGGGCACTGGACGTATGATTGCCGCCAGAAGCCCGGCTCCACGCCCAGCTACAAGGCTCGGCCCTCGGCTTCCGAGCGCCTGCGCATGCGTGCCGCCGGCGACATCCATGGTCTTGGGCGTCCGCTGACCGAGGAGCGCCCGCCCGATCTCGAGGCTGACCGGTGCGTGCAGGGGCTGGCTCCTCGCCATTTGCCCAAGTGCCCGCATGTGCAGGATCTGACATGCTGCCCTTTCCTCGTGCTCCACCCTTGGCTCTCGCCTGCTGTTCCCTTCCTTCCGCTGGACCCTGCCCCTCTTTTTTTCCCCTCTCACCGGGCCAGGTCGGCCGCTGTGACTTCCGTCCTGAAGGATGTGGACCTCGAGTCCCCATCGAAGAAGAAGGCAAAGTCGACCGGCCGACGCACTTCCTCACCTGATCCCTATGACTCCTACGATTCATACGATTCCTATGACTCCTACGATTCCTACGACTCCTATGACTCCTACGACTCCTACGACTCCTACGACTCCTACGACTCCTACGACTCCTACGACTCCGGCTCGGACTCCGGCTCGGAGTCTGACGATGCGCGGCCCTCGAAGAGCAGATCCTCGGACAAGCGTGCCGCCTCCTCGTCGGCCGTCGGCCCGAGCAAGCGCTCCCCCTCGCCCGTCAGCGAGTCGGAGCTTCTCTCCCCCCGGCGATCGCATGTGGGCTCTTCCAGTCGGTCGCGCTCTCGGTCGCCGGCTTCCAGCCGTAAGCGTCCGGTCGACCCGGCCACTGACCGCGACGATTCGACTGCCAAGCGCCACGCCGGAGCGCGCCCCCAACAGCAAGCCATCCCCCCCGACTCTCCGACATCCAACCGGCGCCCCCGCAGCCGAAGCCCTTCGCCCGATCGCCCGGCCGCCTCTTCGCCCCCCACAAAGCGCTCTCGTGGTCGTAGCAGCAGCCGCAGCCGCAGCCGCAGTCGCAGTGATAGTGGCAGTCGGAGCCGTAGTGATGATGATACCCGCAGCCGGAGCCGGAGTCGGGGCCGCAGCCACAGCGGCAGTCGTAGTCGGAGCCGGAGCGACAGTGGCAGCCGGAGCCGGAGCCGGAGCCGGAGCCGGAGCCGGAGCCGGAGCCGGAGCCGGAGCGACAGTGGCAGCCGGAGCCGGAGCCGTGGCCGCGGCCGCGATCGTGCACGCCGGTAAGAGCCGGGTCGTGTGGTGTGTCCTCTGCGTTCCTCCTCTGGGCCAGTCTATCCCTTCCTCGCTCCTGCATTCTCCCTCGCTCCTTCTTTCGCCTTCTCCCTTCCCCTTTCCCAGGAGCCCTTCCCGCGAGCGAGGGGCTATAGTGCATCCGCCCGCGAGGCCGCACAGGTCCCGAGCAAGCAATCCCTTCCCCTCTTGCCCCTCGCTGCCCCGAAAGAAAAAGAAGAAAAAAAAAGCAGAAATATGTCCTCCTTCCTCTCCCTCTCCCACAATACAATAGAATCTCCCACACCTTCTCTGCGTTTGGACGGGGAGTCTGTGCTCACCATCTTTGGCCTGTGTGCGCGCGCGCGTGTGTGTGCGTGTGTGTGTGTGTGTGTGCGTGTGTGTGTGTGTGTGTGTGTGCGTGTGTGTACGTGTGTGTACGTGTGTACGTGTGTGTGTCTGTGCTCTTTCTTTTGTCAGCCTCCTCCCTTCCTGCGCCTTCGACGATCTCCCCGTTGTCGTATGGCCATGAACCGAAGCTGCTACTACAGAACCGTAATCACGCGGTCACGCCTCTGTCCCGTCAGAACCAAGTGTGCGTGCCAAGAACGCGAGCAGCCAACGCAGGAGCCCCTGGCTGGGGTCCCAGGCCCCTGCCTGTTGGGCGCGCCGTCCTGCCGGTGGCTCCCCCCTGCCTTGTCGCTCCCTCGGCGCGGGGGAGCTTTTCATGGATGTCGCCGACACGCGTCGGTCTCAGGGGTGAGCCATGGGGGAGGGCGCGTGTGCGCGTGTGGAGACGGCGATCGTCCAAAATCGGAAAAGTGAATTTCGCATCCCGAAAGTGAGGCCAAGGCGGGGGCGGAGACGAGATGGGCTGCCTTGCGAGGCTGGCTGTTCCTGCCCCCGCCCCCCCCCCCCCGGGAGACGGGCCAAGACGCCCGGCTATCGGGCTCCCTGCCGTACTGCCCACGATTACTTCTTGCTTCTGGCCCCCCTCCCTCCGCCCCAACTCACATCTGACTGGAGTCCCCCCACCGGACCCCCGCACCCGGAGAGGGATGGCATCGATCTCACACTTGACCAGCAGCTGCCCCGCCCCCCCCCCCCCCCCGGACGGAGCGAGGGAGGATGCGGGGGGTGCCGCCCCCCCGGTTGCGCCCGTGCTCGGGTCCGAGAGAAACCTGTGACTCGTTTGGTCGAGCCCAGCTTCCGAGGACAACACAATGTAACTCGGGCCGGAGGGGGGGGGAGGGGGGTGTTTGCCAGGTTGTCAGCGCTGGCACGAGCTCGCCCTGGCACCCCCGGAGGGGCGAGCCAGGCTCCCGGGGGCTCGGGGCCGCGGTTCCGCTCGCGCGCCCGGCCCCGTCCCTTCGGGAAGAGGCCCTGCTCCGGCACAATCGGGGCCGCCACTCCCGCGGGGGGGGGGGGGGGGGGGCCTTCGGCCCAGTCAGGCGTGGGCTGGGCTGGATCTTCTCCGAGAGCATTCCACCGGTACGCCCGCGTGCGCGTATGTGCGCGCTACGCACGGAGATTGCGCATCTGCCCTTGCCGCCCCTCCCCCCCCTGCCCTCGCGCCCGACAACCGTGCTGATCTGCCCCAGCGAGGGAACCCCTCCGCGGCCGGCAGATCCGTGTGGGATGGGCCTTTCCCTAGCTGTGTGCCGTAAGTGTCGCGGTCATGCAGTTCCGGCCCGGGTGCTTGATCCGGAGCCCCTCTCCCCTCGGCCGGGGAAAGGATGTCTGGCCTTATACTGACAACCGGGGGTGTTCCGGGCCGCCAGGGGCTGGACCGCGCGCCGGCCCCCCGTCCAGAGAAAGGGTGCCTGGGGCTCAGTTTTCCTGGTATTTTTTTCTGGCGTCTACCAGTTTGTTATCATTTCTCCCTCCGAAGGGGGGGGGGGGGGCCCGGCGTGTCGGGCCAGGTACCATGTCCTCCTTCTCTGGCCCGCCGTGACCGGGGCCCGCCAGGGAACGGCGCCTCCAGGCTCGGGCCCTTCCTCCCCGTCAATGCGAGGCAGAGCCGGGGGAGCGCATCTCCACTGTGTCTGTCCGGTCAGCCGAGCGTCAATCGCCGGATTTCTGTGGCTATGTAACTCCCTCGGCCCCTGGCCCCGTTCGCACAACTCGCGCTAGCGGGGCCCGACATGCGTGGCCCGCGTTCAAGCAATGCCCCCAACTGCCCACTCCATGCTTTTGCGCGCGTGCGTGCTTGATGTGTGTGTGCGTGCGCGTGTGCGCGTGTGTGCGTGCATGCGCGTGCGTGCGTGCATGCGTGTGAGAGAGAAAGGGAGGGTGTAAGGATTGCCGCAGGGCCGGTTTCCATCTTCACTTGAAAGTACACCTGGCGTCTAGCCGGCAGAAGACACTTGCACTGGTGGGGGGGGGGGGGGCGCCAAGACCTCAAACGGGGTGGCTCGATCTTGAAACGATCCTGGCCCTCTTCCCCCCCCCCCCCCCTTCCCTTCTCCATCCGCTGCAGAACAAACGCCCTGCGGAATTCCCCCCCGGCCGGTGTGGATGCCGGGCTTTCTCCACCAGCATCCCCCTTTCACCTCGTTGCTGCCATGGGCTCCGATGGTATTGTAGCCAGCCCAGTTGTGTAGCCATCATTGTGGCCAAGAACAAAGATAGGATATGGTCTTGGGCTTTCGAAGAGGATGGGAGACCTGCTGGTATATTTGTCCGGCTGTGGGCCTTCTCGTGCGCGCTCATCGCGAGGATTGACCTCTTTCTCTCCCCCTCTCTCTCACGGTCTGTCTGTCCCCGTTCTCTTTTCCCCCCAGGTTGGAGCGGGCGGGTGGGTGGCCTGCTGGGCGGGTGGGTGGCCTGCTGGGCGGGTGGGTGGCCTGCTGGGCGGAGGGGGCCTGCTTGGTTAGTGAGGGGTGTCTTTTTTTTTTTCGGCCGGCGGACCGGTGCCCCCCGGTCCTCGCAAATCCACTCAAGATGCCGAGTCGCCCCTCCCTCTCGCTCTCTCCTGTCATACGTCTGCCTTTGCCGTATCCATTCCCCTCTCCCCCCCCCCCACCCCCTCTCCCCCCCTCCCTCCCTCCCCGACCGCCCCCTAGCTGTACTGGCGCACACGCCCCCTCCAAGGCGCCAGGATGAATGTAATCACCATTCACGAGAGCCCCTTCAACGGAGGCATGTTGGGCCCCGCGACCCCGGGCTCCGGCCCATCGGCCTCGTCGTCTGTCGGGTCTCTGCTGTGTGATTCGTGTGTTCTGCCCACTTCGCCAAGTTCTTGCGCCTCGGGGCCCGTGTGCCCCCGTCGTCTTGCGTCGGTGGACTTCTCCGGCAGTGCCAGTCGCGGTCTCTTCCCCTTCAATCCCCTGGTCCAGCCGCTTCGGATAGCCATTCGCTCGGAGAGCCACCATGATTTGACCGGTACGTGCTCGCGCGTGCGCGCACACACCCATCGCACACACCGATG